AACAAATAAGTTTAATGCCGTACTGTTGAACATTCCAGGCATTGCCATGGAAACAAATAAATTAGATTTTCTCCAGAAGTAAAGTTATATAGTGCTCCTTTATTTCACATACATATTTTCTATACCACATGCCCATCCTGTCACAGTTAAGTCACATTGGTGTTAATAATTTGAAAATGTGGTTGCCAAATGTCTTGCTAAAGGACACAACAACAGCTTGTGTTCAGGCATAATTTGAACTGGTGATCATGTGAATAGAGGGCACAAGCTCAACCCATTACCACTGGGGTGTGCAAAAATATTGAAATATCGGTATCTTGTATTGTTTAATGTGATGATACTGTATCGATATCATGAGCTGCTGTATCGATACAGAAATAGAAAGCCTTTATTGTCATTATACAGTATAATGAAATTCAGATATATCGCCAAGAGTATTTTTTGGTAAATTTTTGGCTAATTTTACAAAATTATTTTGTTACAGTGCTACGGTTTTGTTGCTTGTTTAGAGGAAGAAAACTCGTTTATACGACACATTTGAAACATTCACTGTTTTGATGATTAAAATGTTTGTGTTTCATATGAACTTTGCACAAGAAGTGATTTAACAAAGATCACAGACATGATTTAGCCTATTTTTTATTGAACTGTATCGACTTGATTTGAAATATATCGTGTTGAATCGAAAGTGCACTGTATCGAGGTATGTATCAGATCATGGCCTATGTATCGAGGTGTATCATATCATGGCCTATGTATCGAGGTGTGTATCGTATCGTGACCTATGTATCATATCAGCAACTTCTTAATGATACCCAGCCCTATTTACTATGTCCGAAATTAATTCTCACCAAATCAGTGTTTAATTGTCAAAAGTGAACTTTGTAACTTTTGTGGTGAAGGATATTGTTTTACCTTGTCATTAAACATAAATCTTAAATTTAATACAATTACGCGTGTTTTTAGTGTTTGTAAAGTTCAACAAAAAGCATACAGTCATACATGGAGGCGTTACTTGCTTGTTACCATGGAAATCAATACGCTTAATGTCAAACTCCACAAAAGTTAGACAGTGCACCTTTAATAAAAAAATTAAATAAAAAACTTGGCGAAATTTATGATCAAAGTTTTTATGACCAATTCATTACCGAAATAAGTAGATGCTAATGAAGATCATATTGTTTTGGTAAGCACAGAGCTGATGCGACAGGACCGCCTCGTGTCCCGTTTAGCGGATCCGCTGGAGATGAGTTGGCAGGACGGAGGGACTTGTTTTATAGACGGTGACAGCTCAATTTGCGATGTCCATTTTTCAACGTCAGCAAAACTGTAGCCACGAAAGCAATACGTGAAATGAAAGAGTTATCGGCCGTGATTCTGTAGTGTTATTAATGTAGAAAAGTACATTTGTTTACATGAAGTATTCATTGTATATTCCACGAAATGTCCAATAGATCTACAATAATAGATTTTATAATATTTTCGCAATGTACCAAGTATGATTGAAAGCCAAAAATACATTGTTTACTATTGTATTTCAAAGTTAGGGCAGTCTGCTACTTCCTTTTCTCAATGGAGAGCTTATTTCTGTGCCCGGAATATTCCAAAGTATGGCATTTAACTTCAAAATGCGAAAAGAAAGATATGCATGAGAGTTGGCTCGCCTCTCCACAGATCTGGCTTGTAACTTGTTTTGGTTGTCATGTGTTGGTTTTTAAACGTTCAAAATATCCGATTAAAAGGTCGGTACCCAATTTTTTTCCACGTATTTGAGCGAAATGTGTCTCGCCCCAGTGCAGATGTACGTGTTTTTTTGTCTCAGGAAGTGCGCTGTCAGCATGCTAGCTAGTAGTGTATGCTATTATTACTATTTTACTATTTATGCATTTATTTTGGTTAAGTAAAGATTTACATTTATATACAATGGAACATATGATAACATAAGTGAAATCATAATAGAAATGAAAATAACAACAAAAAAATTAACTATTATTATTACTACAGTATTTTGCCCAAAAATTAGTGGGAAGAAGAAAACTTATTTAATCCCACCCCTGCTTATATCCAAATGATTCTAGTGAAGGTGTAGGGAGTTTAAAACACACACTTCCTGTATTACCACGTGACATCACAAGGTGGAACGGGGTGTTTTCAGTTTGAGAGAAGAACTCCGCCTAAATACGCAGGGTTTGAGCATTAAACATGTGTGAATGAAACAAAATACAAGAAGGAAACAACATTATAACAGATCAGAAAATAGCATAATTCAGGCCTTTTACTCAAGAAATCTGTCGCATTATTAGCATTAACGTGTTATATGAATTTCACTCCTATTTCCTCAAAATACCCATCATGCACTTGTACTTAGCACATCCGTCAATCCTGTCAGATGTAACATACGCCTTCTCATCAGCCATCGCTCATCCTCCCATCATACGGCGGTGCTTACGGGGCTAGCCAAAGTGCTTCTCGTAGCGTTGAATATGTTAGCGCTCCTCATTAGCTTAAAGGCACCTCTCGCGGGAGCCGTGAATAAATATTTGGACTTGTCCCTGGTGTAAAATGCTACGTTTAAGTATCCGCCGCCGAGCTTGTTGATGTATCTCCTCTCATCGACGGCGCAATTTCACTCAAGCACCTCTCGTATGCCTGGCACACCACCATTTTTTTTTTTTTTTTTTTTTTTTTTTTTTTTAAGCATGAATCAAGGCCGTTGTTTATTTGTGATTGCGCTCGTCGTCAGCGTGCGTTCTCACGGCCCGGAGCTGTCAAAAATGAGCTCAAGGATCGACTTTTAGTTCCAGATGTTAAGACTGTGTTCATTTAAGCTGTAGTGGTACATATGTTTGCAGTAGACACAAGTATGTTTGCAGTAGAGACAAGTAGTAGTAGTAGTAGTAGTAGTAGTAGTAGTACTAGTAGTTGTAGTAGTAATTGTTTTTTTGCATAGTGATTATCATACTGCTAGTACTCATAGCAGTTGTGTCATAGTAGCAAAATTAGTATTAGTAGTAGTAGCAGCAGCAGTAGCAGTAATAGTAGCAGTAGTAGTAGTAGCAGTAGTAGTAGTAGCAGTAATAATAATATTATTTTTTTGCATAGTGATTCATAGTGAGTCATATTGCTAGTATCGATAGCGGTTTTATCATAGTAGCACAATAGTAGTAGTAGTAGTAGTAGTAGTAGTAGTAGTAGTAGTAATTTTTGTTGTATTATATAGTGACTGTGATGAAAGTAGTCATATTGCTCGTGATAGTAGTTGTGTAATACTACCAAAATTAGTAGTAGTAGTAGCAGTAGCAGTAGCAGTAGCAGCAGTAGTAGTAATAGTAGTAGTAGTAGTAGTAATAGTAATTGTTGTATTGCATAGTCATATTTCTAGTAGTAGTGGTATTATTGCATATGAATGTTTACAGTAGAAAGTAATAGTAGTTTTTTGTAGTAGTAGTAGAAGTAGTAGTAATAGTAGTAGTAGTCGTAGTAGTAGTAGTAGTAGTAGTAGTAGAAGTAGATGTGGTAGCAGTAGTAGTAGTATAAATCAGATTTTGATGTACATGTGAACATAGCCACTTAGTAGTAGTACTGGTAGTAGTGGTAGTAGTAGTAGTAGTAGTAGTAATAGTAATAGTAGTAATAGAATTAGTAGTAGTAGCAGTGATAATAGCAATAGAAGTAATAGTAATAGTAGTAGTAGTAGTAGTAGTAGAAATAGTAGTAGTAAATTAGGATGTGATATTCACACTCAAAACAATCGTTAGTATTGTATTGTAGTATACTGGTATTGTAGTAGTAGTTATGTATAGTAGTTATGTAGTAGCACTGTAGTAGTAGTAGTTGTATAGTAGTACTCCAACTCCTCTCATATGCCTTTCAGACAACTGTTTTTTTTTTTTTTTTAGCAAGAATCATGTGCGTTCCTTCTTGGTGATAGCTCCAGTCAGCAGTGTGCATTCTCACACTCCAGATGTTCCAGGAGGTGTATAGATTGTGGAAGACGAGGAGGAGTGCGATGCCGGCGTTCAAATGGGAATTAAGTGGGAGAGAGGGCCAGATGTGGTGCGGAAACGCCATGGTGGTGGTCTCTTGTGGATGGTATAGTAAACAGTACTTGGTTGGATGGTACATGTGGGAGGCGAGCACTTCCAGAACACTCCTAAACAGACTTTAATGGGCTCAGCCACTGCTTCCTTTTACGGTTTTGTAAATTGACTCAGAGTTGTAAAGCTGAGTTAGCCGAACCAAAGCCGGACTTGTGAATGTAAATATGTGAAAATGGTTGGTTTTAACATGCTGGGTTAGCAGTTAGCGCTAGTTAGCATTAGAGCTTTTGAATGTTGTCGAGCTGTTCTTGCTTCTTGTTTTGGAGTTGTTCAGCGATGTGTAGGAGCTTATTCAGGTTGGTGGTCTTGTGTTGGGTCCTTGGGCAAGACACTCGAACCATGAACCATGACTTTTGACGTAAGAGTAGGATTAGAGGCAAGCGAGGGATATTTTGATTGAGTTTTTTTTCTTTAGCGATATTGACTTCTTATATTTGTTCATAATAGATAATTTGTCAAAATTGGTATTACCATTTTAGCTTTTAACTAAGAAATATACATTTTTTTTTATTTTATTTTATTATTATTATTTATTTTATTTTATTTTTTTTAGTTTTTTCTAGATCTCGACTTTCTAGATCTAGATTCTCGATAGTTTTTATTTTTGTTTTTTTTATAATTTGGTTAATTTCAAACCTGGAATTGCCAATCTCTGCTGAACAAAAGGTTAAAATAAAGTAGCTGTTAACATAAAAACTACTACTACATGACATCACAAGGTGGAACAGTGCATTTTCAGCTTTGGAGATGTAGACAGACTATTCAAACACGTGTAACCGAAACAAAACACACATGTTATGTGTTTAACAAGGTATAATGTCAATTTTGAGTAATAAGTGCCACCACAAAGAAAAGCTGGGTTATAACGTCAGTTATAACGTTCTTGTCTCCTTCTTCTAGGTCCTGAATGTTCTCGAAACTTCACGTCCAACAGCGGAGTGATCAAGTCTCCAGGTTACCCGGAGAAGTACCCCAACAACCTGGACTGCACCTTCATGATCTTCGCCCCCAAGATGTCCGAGATCATCCTGGAGTTCGACAGCTTCGAGCTGGAGCCGGACCCCACGCCCCCTAGCGGTGTGTTCTGCCGCTACGACCGACTGGAGATCTGGGACGGCTTTCCTGGAGGTAAGGATTTTTTTAATGGTTTGTCCATCAGTGGAAGGATTGCTGGTACAAACCTCACACATGCATACTTTCGTTGTGTCACTGAGCAAAGAATTCCATCCACAGTACCCACGTTAACCAAATAATATTGCAAAAATAAGGGCATCTGACATTAAAATATAAAAAAAAAAATTGCCAAAACATCTGCAATTTGTTCACTCTGGCAACCATAACTTAAATGAAAAAAATGGCTTGATAATTGAGTTTTTTTGAGTAGCTTCAATACTTGTGCCAGATGTACACTTTTGTATTGTCACTGAGCAAGGCACTCTGCCCACAGTACTCACTTAAACCGAATAATAAATGTTGCAAAAATAAGGGCATCTGGCGTAACAACTTGCCAAAACATCTGGAATTTGTTCACTCTGGCAAGCGCAACTTAAATGAAAATAAACATAAAAAATTCAGTCTTGAAAACTTGCGAATACCAGACGCATACTTTTGCAGTGTCATTGAGCAAGGCACTTTATTACCTGCTCCTGCATTACTCACGCCAGATCAATCACAAGTCTGACAGGCTGCAAAAACAAGGGCATCAAACATTGGTCATTTGTTCACTCTGGTAACCAAAACTTTTTGCTGATTTAGTCTAGCTTCAAAATACTTGTCCCAGATGTGCACTTTTGTCGTGTCATTGAGCAGGGCACTCCGCCTACAGTTCCCACTCCTGTTGAATCATACTTCTAGCAGGGCATCCGGCGTAAAAACTCACTCAATTTGTTCTCTCTGGCAACAATGACTGAAAATGAAAAAAATGGTTAATGCTAATTGAGTGTAACTTCAAAATACTTGTGGCAGATGTGTACTTTTTTCGTGTCATTGAGCAGGGCACTCCACCTACAGTTCCCGCTCCTGTTGAATCATACTTCCAGCAGGGCATCCGGCATAAAAGCTCACAAAACATCTTTAATTTGTTCTCTCTGACAAAGACGACTGAAAATGTAAAAATACTAATACTAATGCTAATGCTAATGATAATGCTAAAAAAGAAAAAAACATAAAAAAAATCACATCTGTAATTTGTTTATTCTGGCAACAAAGACTGAAAATGTAAAAAAGAAAAAAAAGGCTAATACTAAAAAACTCACAAAACATCTGCAACTTGTTCATTCTGGCAACAATAACTGAAATTGTTATGGCTAATGTTAAATGAAAATGAACACAAAAAATTACTTTTGGTGTGCCATTGAGCAGGGCACTCCACCTAGAGCTCCCACTCCTGTAGGGCATCCAGCGTAAAAACTAACAAAACATCTTGAATTTGTTCTCTCTGGCAAGAAAGACTGAAAAAGTAAAAAAAACAACAACAAAAAACAATAAAATGTTTTTATTCAGTCTAACTTCATAATACTTGTGCCAGATGTGTACTTTTGTCGTGTCATTGAGCTGGGCACTCCACCTACAGTTCCCACTCCTGTTGAATCATACTTCTAGCAGGGCATCTGACATAAAAACTCACAAAGCATCTTCAGTTTGCTTAGTCTGGCAACAATAACTGAAATTGTTATGGCTAATACTAATGCTAATTCACTCTAGCTTCAATACTTGTGCCAGAATTTTAAAAATGTCCGTCTAAATCTGTCATTTTCTTTACAAGGCCTTCCACTCAAACCTTGTACTAAAATACACCAACACCAACTCTATTTTTACGCTTCAGGGCTGGTAAATCCGCACCAGTCGACAGCTCCTATGATAAAGTGTCTTAATCTCTTGTTTAGGATTACAATATACCTTTTTTTAGGCCCCCTCCCCAGACATTTCCCTAACACACACGTAACGCGACACCGAGGCCCGAAAAGATGAGCGCTGCACACATCAGCCGGCCCCATTGTAAGAAGCAGAGGAGATTTTAGTCCGGATCGGAGTTTGGCGGAGGTCCAGGAGTCTTTCGGCGGGAGCACAATGCCTGGTCATCGCTCAATGCCAAACGGCTGGCTGATTGTACGCGCCTGTCGACCCTGCCGCGCCTGCCGCTCCTGTCCCCGGCTGCTTTGTGTCACAGTGGAGTTTGTAAGCGAATTCGGGGTCCATTATAGGTCAGTGATACCAGTTGGGTCTTAAGGGAGATGTCAAAATGGGGTGACAGGACATTGACTGTAAGTTCAAGATGTTGCACATACTCACATGAAAAAATAATGAAGTTGTAACAGTAAAAAGCAATTCCAGAATTTAGTTCAGGGGTGGCAGTAGTGTTAGTGGTAATAGCAGCAACAGTATTAGAAGTTTAAAAAAAAGTGATTTCCTAGTGTTGTGGTGGTAGTAGTAGTAGTATATTGTATGGTTACAGTAGAGACATGCAGTAGTTGTGGCAGTAAAAGAAGACAAGTAGTACTAGTGTCTGTAGTGATGTTAGTAGTTGTAGCAGCTGTAGTAGTAGAAGTATTAGTAGTACTAGTAGTAATATTAATTTGCATGTAAGAGTAGCAAGTACCAGTAGAAGTAGGAGTTTCATTAGTTGTAGGAGTGTTAGTAGTTTTGCATAATTTTAGTATTGGAGAAGTACTATTGCATAGTATTGGAGTAGTAGTAGTAGTAGTAGTAGTAGTACTAGTAGTAGCAGTAGTAGTAGTGCTAGTAGTAGCAACAGTAGTAGAAGTAAAAAAGTGGCTTTTCCTAGTGGCAGTAGTAGAGGTAGAGGTGAGTGGTAGTAGCAGTAAAAAGAAGCCTAGTTATAGTACTAGCATATATAGTAGTGTTAGTAGTAGTAGCAGTTGCAGTTGTAGAAGTAAAACCAAAATCTACTGGCAGTGGTAGTAGTACTAGATATTGATTTTTACCATAAAAAAACAAGAAGTAGTATTGCGAGTGCTAGAAGTAATAGTAATTTGCATAGTAGCAAGTAGTAGTAGGAGTTTCATTTGTTGTATTAGTAGTGGTAGTAGTATTGCATGCTGATGTTTGCAGTAAAGTAATTGCGTAGTAGTTGTAGTAGTAGTAGTAGTAGTAGTAGTAGTAGTAGTAGTAGTAATAGTAGTAATAGCAGAAACAATAGCAGTAAAAGAAGCAATTGTTAGTAGTACAAGTGTCTGTACTGGTGTTAGTAGTTGTAGGAGCTGTTACAGTAGTAAAAGTAAAAACAAATTCTAGTGACATTGTTGGCAGCAGTAGTAGTAGTAGTAGTAAGTTTCATTGCGTAGTGGCAGTAATAGTTATAGCGAATGTATTGAACCGTGATGCTTGCATTCAAAACAAAAAATTGCATAATGTGAGAGTTGTAGTATTCATGTAGTAATAGTAGTAATATCAAAAGTAGTAGTAACAGTGTGGTCCCATACCTGACACAAAACTACGTCAGCTAAATATTCATAAATACAATCTGGAGCTGACGGAGATGAAGAAGCGACCATCTTGTGACACGGGTCCATGTTTTGATTACAATAAAACATAAATTCACCACAAATCCGAGCACCTCACCGGATCCGCTCTGGAATATTAATGCGCACGCTCCTGTCAGAAATCTATTGTTTATACATGAATCTCACCCAGAGGTCACACGCAGAGGCTCGTACCAAATCAGCAGGTGAAACAAACCGAAACCATTGCATTTCTACACGCGGGGAATTCTCTATGGAAATAGAACCCAAAATAAACAGTCAATTATTTATAGAGTACATTTGAACTTGAAATCTTGGACCCGATCGCACATTCGTACAACACAGTGTTAAAAGCCTGGAAGCGAAGAAGCCGAATGGTCTTGCCCAAGGACACAACAACAGTGGGCGTTGGCAACAGTGCGAATCGAACTTCATTTGTTTATTCACCAAAGCGCAGACAGTGGAGGCTACTGAGGTTGAGCATTTTGACTTACAATGCGACCCAGCTTTGGCGGTGGTAGGGACTAAATTGGCAACTTGTGGGTTAGTGAGCAAGACACTTATTGACCAGACTTCTTGACCAGACACCGATTCTGAATTTAAAGCAATGTAAATTAGCCATGGGTTTTATAATGATAGAAAATTTGGACTGTTGCTGTAGCAATCAACTAGCCTGAGTCATCAGCCGGTTTCACTTCGTAGAAACCGTCTGACTTCGCAACATTAGGATTCATTTGCTCGATGGTAAGCAAGTACTTTTTTTAATTTAGCCAATCACTGCTATTTGGTCGTAATGTATGTAATGCACCGCTAATGGGGCTAACTAATATATTAAGCTTTTCCCAAATCCTGTAGGAAGAAGGACAATAACGTCTTTCACCCTTGATAAAATTCACCAAACATTCTCTTTGTTCAGGCTTTAAATCCTCGATCTTTGGAATCATTGACAACACAGAATGTATGGCTCTTCGCTGATTGGCTGGTGCCCGAACTCGCACTTCTAGGGTTTTTGCAAACCATCTAGTGTATTCCGATTCCTGACCTAGTCGCTGAAGAGAAATGAAATTGAGCGGAGGCATTAGATGGCACCAGTCTGGCTAAGGTAAATTAGCCTTGTGATGGGAAATTTGGACTGTTGCCATAGCAATTAACGTAAAAAGTCCACAAAATGGCTCCTATAACTGGAAACTGAAACCCATGAGTATGTCTTGCCTAAGGACGCAACAACAGTATACGTGCCCATTTGCACAGATTGAACCAGATATATTGATATTGATATCATCGGCGAGGCTCATCTTGCTCTAGGACACAACAGCAGCATGCATTACCAGCATTGGAAAAATCGAACCAGTGTAATTTGACAAACATTTTTACTAACTGTACTGTGCTACTGGCGCTGAATCATGCAAAAATCAGGGCACAGTTTTGCCGGTAGAAACAATAACTAGCATGCTATCATGCACTTCCTGGTTATCGGACAATAAAAAGCTTTATTATTAGATACAGAACGCACAAGAGCTGCTTATGCAATATATCTATACTGGGGCAAGGCAAACTTTGATCAAATACATTGGGAAAAAAATCCGATACAGAGGCTTTAATCAAACTTTGTAACACTCGCAGTGCTTACATTAGGTTCCATTTTGT